GAGAGAGANNNGAGAGAGAGAGAGAAAACGAGCGTAAAATTATTAAAAATTTGAAATTATAATTCCTGGAAACGCAAGGAAGAAAAAAGCGAGCAGTTTCCACGAAATAAAAATTTCAAAAAGAACGTAATTAAAATTTAAATTTAAACCGGAAAAATTGCTCGAAAATGTTGTTGTATCGAATAAAAAAATATCATCAATTCAAATAGGAGAGAAAAATTTCTCGTTAACAAATTACCTAGAGCGAGTCCTCGAATCCAAACTTCACGCCCTGTTTCGGCGCATTAAATCGGTCCCTGGAAAAAGTTGGAAAGAGAGAGTGCGAACGACAGCGAATATTCACTTTTCACCCAATCGTGATACCTCTTTGTTCGAATCCAAGCAAATCGTATCCTACGAACGTTTCGTAAACACCTCGACGCGATCGATCCTCCGTCGAAACTTACGATCGTTCCTTTCTCATTACGTGTTTCCTTCCAATTAATGCGTACGAGTCACGAAAATCTCATTCGAGAACCTCCTCCTCGATATATAACTTGCGCGATAAAAAATTTCCAACTATCGGATTAATTTTCATTCATTTTATCTTTCCATAAATTCAACTATAGTGGATCGAACTCGATCGACTCTCTTCTCTTCTCTTCACGAACTGTTTGTTCTTTTTACTGTTAGATTCCGTTAACACGATTATCGTATCCACTGTACGACCGCTGCTTTTCAAATATGAATCAAGCGTGAAAAGATCGTGGAATACCGTATTGTCGATCGCGACCACCTTTCGAGACGGCAGCTCGTGTGCCACTGGCGTAAGGTCGTCGAGCCTCGTTGCTTCTAGCTTGTACTGTTGTAAAAGTCGTACAGTTTCAGCGTATAGTGTACGATTAGTGTACGTAGCCTTTGATCCTTCCCCTAATTCAACTTGGTGTGTTTCGTGTGTTCTATAAAATCGTGAAGGTCCGTCACTTCGAGCGTCACGCGCGATCGATAATATAAGCTAAGGAAAACATGACCGCCCAAACTTCGCGTTTCAAACGCGTTTGCAATTATTAGTTTAAGCTCTTTTAAGGGATTGGCGAAAAAAGAAATATGTTCATTTAATTCTTAAGCGAATCGATAAATTAAATCCGTCGATAAATAAATTTTTTTGATTTTGTTTCGGGAAATAGAAATTTAAATTTGTTAGTTTATTTCTTTGTTTCAAAGAAAGAGGAATTTTTGAATTGTGACAATTTTTAAAGGAACATCGTCTCGGTGAATTTGATGATTTTTTAATTGAATAATATATATTTTTTTTTTTCATTCGAAACGATCAATTCGGATCAATTTTCAAAGTTTTTAATTAGGTTTTTTTGTGAGAATAATTTTGAATATTACAATATCATCCATTGCAACGTTTAAGTATATATACACAGCTATTGTGAACAGCATTGGTCACGGTAGTTCAGGTGTCACTGACATAAGGTCGTCAAGCTTCGATGCTTCCAATATGTACAGTCTATTTCGTACGCTGTTAAAACTACGTAATAATCGAAAAAGTAGAAAAAAATAATGCTATACAAGAATATTTATTTCGAAATTGATCAAGATAAACGGATGTATAATAGAATAATAATTAGAAATATAGATTACCATTAAAATCCATTATAAAATAGTTATTAATTAAAAATCGTATAATTTATTAAAGAAGCTTGTATAAAATATATCATATAAAACAACTTACTTAATACATTAACCCTGCTATTCTAAATTCGCGTGGCACATAAATTACATTTGTAAAAAAAAAAAAATCTGTGAATTGGATTAAAGAAAAAAAAGAAATATTATCAAACAACGCAAGCAATTAAAATCTCCTAAAAGATAGGGATAATAATAATTTCAATGATAATGCAAAGTGAACGTGGCTAAATTTGAAAGTGTCATAACGTGTGACCGTATCGTTCATCATGCCAGCTTCGTATGACAGTAATATAAGGTCGCCGTCATAGCTTCGTTGATTCCAACGTATGTACACATATATGTACGTTCAGGTATCTTTCACGTGACGTTTGTCATACGATGATTTTAAAACAAAAATTTAACGATAATTACACCTCGTCACTTTTATCCGTTTCACAGTTGATCGCTATATTCTTCAATATCTTCTTCAAATGACTCCATTCGCACATGCCTCGGGGGCATCCTTCGTAATCTAATGGTTTCTCGTTTAAATAGAGTTTCACCTTGAAACCGTCGTCGCATCTGAAAGTAATATTGGAACGAGAGTAAAATGAATAACGGCTAACAAGTAAATCGATGATTGAAGCTGAGAAATTCTCGTACTTGTAAAAAATGGCCGCTAAATTCGCAGCGAATGGCGTCAGATTCGCTGTGTACCATTTTCTTGTTTTCGCCTTATCGATGTTCGTATCGTGTACCAAAGGCTCCGGGTCTTTCGCGTATCCCAACGTGGACAGGAGCAATTGAAGGGCAGCACTGTGGGTGAAGTAAAAAATACCTTTCGGTTCGTTCTTATTTCCATTCTCCAAATTTCTGAAAAAAAGAACGATACGTAATGTTATTTATTGGATATTCTTTTTCTGCGTATAACGGATGCTACAGCGTGAAATTCTTTATTTAATCAATTTTCAATTTACTATAATTATAGAGATCTTACTGTGCAAATAGGAGGTTCGTTGATTTCTTTTTTTTTTTCTTTTTTCCCCAAGATACGATTATGTGAAGTATGTACACTTACGAAAAATGATTGAACAGATCCTTCAACGGTGGACATCCAACATCTTTCCTCATTTGCTGGCCATAACCGTAAAGATAATAAAAATACATATCATCCCTGTACTGAAACCATTCTATATCCTCTTTTGTAAACGGGGCGCACCAGGGAGACTTTTCGTTGATGTACCAAGCGCTCTCGAACAAGCAAATAGTGTACACGTCTTCGATTTGAGCTGAATAAAAAATTGAATTGAATCGAAGTTGAAGCTGATCAATGGAATAGAAGAGTTTGTTCGAAACAATTATAGATTAATAAGATGAGATATCGTACTGAAAATTTCATCCGTTGTGTTGTTTGGCAAACCGAGTCGTTCGCTGATGTTGTTCATCATTTGATTGTATTCATCGCTTTGCGTTAATTCATCGCTCTCGGCCCACATCTCTGTCGTGTTAGCCGTTTCGTTCAAATATGGTTCATAAATTTTGTAGTACTGAAACGGATTAATTAATTATACGGAATGATTTGTATGAAAACTTACTTCAAAATTGCATTATTATATATAAATACTTGTAATAGAGTGTCTTGAGGGACCCCTACTATTTTTGCATTGTCGAAGGTTATATTATTAAAGAGGCCCTTGATGAAGTTTTCCATGCTAGCTACTGTTCGTTGAGTTTTCGTCGATCTAAACTGTGAGGGATCAACATGGACATTAATTATTTAATACTTAATATTGTGAATGTTATGTTTGAAAAAAATTACTTGATACAGTTTCTCCAAACTGTTGCTTGAACGAGGTTGGAAAAGTTCCGGGAAATAATTCTTAAATCGTACGCCAAGGAAAAACATGTCTTGTTTACCCTGCTTTGTCAATCGTGCAGCCTTTTTGTTTTGCAAAGGTTTATATCTGTCCCACTCTTTTAGCCTGTTGTAATCTTTCTCGCACAATTTACCATCTGCAACGATATAAGCAATAAGCATCGTTGCAAAAATCAAAAATCACGTATGAAACGATAAAAAGTCAAATCAAAGACAAATTAAACTAACTGTCATGATTTTCGATGATAGCGCGTTGGATTTGTGGCAAGTCATTTTTTAATTTTTTAATCCAATGTTTGCCGCTATTCCGAGTTCCGTGTCTAAGTATCATCCAAATCTGCAATGGTTCACATTCTGTGAAAAGAAAAAAAGAGAAAAATCGTGATTCACGATTGCGTAAACACGAGACGATAATTTGTTACCTACTTGGCAGTTTGGAATCGTTTATGGTACCATGAACATGCTCATAAGCAGTTTTCGTGCTGAAGAACAAAAATGGATTTCTATCGTCAACGTAACAATATTCGCTTAAAGCTAAATCATTTTCCAAACAAAAAATTGCGATCAATATCGCAAAGATTTTTACACTTGGCATATTTCTCTTTAAAGAAAGAAGCTACTCTGTCAATGTCTGAAACGTAAAGAAATATAATATATAAATTTTTATCTACGACGAGCATATTTATTATTCGAAAAAGAAGGAAGAATTAAGAAAGTTATTATTTATTAATTATATATGTATTCAACTATATTCTCTTTCGCAAAATGATTAGTTATCGTTTCAATCGCTGATTAAACACTACTTCGCTCACCTTTGACGATTAAGTGACTCGATTGTGTGTTCTCCTCTTTTATAAGAAAGAGCCTATCAGCAGCTTTGGATCTTAACGCTTCGCAAGATTCAAATGGATATTTTCGAACGTGTACTAAGATTGTTAGCATGTATACGATATATGTACATATACTTTTCTAAAATGATGAGAAGAATCGACCTATAATGGAAGAAGAATTATGCATTTCTGTTTAAAAAAATGCAAATATTGATTACACATAGCATTGCATTTATAAAGAAAATATTTTCCCCAAGATATAATATCCTTTGAATCATTCATCTTTTCCTTTTAGTATTATATTTATTATAACTGCATAACGGAGAAATAGAGTTATGATCTGAAACAATGTATGTTATTATTGAGAATCTTTTAAAAAATTGATTAAAAATTTTAGAATAATTTTGAAGATGTTTACCTGATTTCGAACACATCACACATTTTATATTTGCTACGTCAATGAGCGATCGATTTCAAGACAAGATTCCACGAAATTTCAAGTATATACATATGTATGTAGGTATAAATACATAGATAATAATAAAAGTCAGCACGTGATTTAATCAATTTATGTTTAATTATGTTTCTTCGATTATTTCTCTGAAATGAAATCTTTTCCAATAATTGATTCGCTTAATTACTCATTTATTCGATTCATCGAATTCCCGTAGATAACGAAATCAAAGATTTTCATTTAATTTTTTACAATTTATTGTTAATATATATATATATCGAGATTATATTGTAAAATGTTCAATTTATCGATCAATCATTTACATCAACATGTGATTTCGACATCACATTTATCAAGATATTTAAGATACAAGTTTTAAATATAATGATTTTATGAGATAACTATTGAGATATATAACAACTTCAATTTAGAATGATTTATCTATTATAATAACAATAATTTCATTGTACATTTCTACTTGCTACTTTATAGTATCTGTCGTATTATATTTAGAAAAAAATTTTGATAAACTACATGAGATCATACTTTAGAGTGCAACGTATATCAGTAAGAAATTTAATTAATTCTTTGATTTTATTATTTATAAAAAAAAACGCGATGGAAAATAACACGATTGCGCAAAATGCGCAATAAAATTGTAATTGAATAAGCGATTAAATGGATAAATTACTAGAATGTTTTTGATTCCGAAAATTTTTGATTGAGAAAAATTCTGATGATGATTTTCTTGTGACACAATAATCGGCGGAAGATAAATGAATATATGATTAAATCAATGCATGCACACACGTATTGATTCTTATTATTATTATCCACATACATGTATATTTAAAATTTCCCGAAATCTTATGCCCAAATCTACCATCCATTGACGTTGGCGACACATGTAAAACATGATCAAAATCAAATAAGCAGGTTAAAAATTTTTTCATTTGTTCCCTAATATATTTTTATTAACATGTATAAGTAGCCATGAAATAATAGCAAAGAATTAATATTAAAATATTAACGTTTATTCGTAATAAATTCCAAACGCAAAACAATAAGCGTAAAATGTTCGAGCTTCGTATGTAAATGTAGAATAATTATCTCTCTCGGTATCCGTAAGAAATCCCATAATTGATTGTATACCTTGATTCGCTTTCTCTATAATGGTTAAATTGACCACGATTTTATATCTAAAGAAAAATTAACTTGAATCAATATTTAAATCAATTAATTATTTAATTTTTTAATCATACAAAATATCATTATATTTAAATTAAGAATATAATTATACCGATCGAAATTCAAATTTTTTATTTTTTCTCTTATATCCGTGGCTACTGATTCACAAATTTTCGAGCACTCCGTACCATCATAAGAGATATCTTCTAACTTATTTATCATTATCATTTTTACAATCTTATCCACTGGATCTACTTTAAAAGGATTATAAGCATTCAAACGATAAGTGTTTTGATATTTTGGCGCCTATGGAAATAAAAAAAGAATAATATATATATGTTATCAAAATAATCACACAATTATTAAGTAATTTTAATTTAATTTGTTTTTGTACTATGAAGAATGGTAATTAAAAAATTAAAAAGACTAGGTCAAAAATATTATTGAACAAAATATCTGTAATATTTTATAGATATAATAGAAAATGAAGTAAAATTTTCTTACCTCGCGTTCATTTTCCTGATTCGTGAGATGACTATCCATATTTTCAAACATGAAATATATTAAATAAAATATAAATATTCCACTTAAAATATATTAAAGTTTATATTTGGCAATAAAAAATTGATAATTAATAATTTTTAAATTTAAAAATATTAAAATCACAGAGATACTTATACAGTACAATCTTGTATAGTTACTTAGAAACGAAATTAAACAATGTTGATTGATCAATCTTGTGCTAAAATAAAATCAATAAATATATTATATTTGTATTGAATATTTATATAATAAGAATAAGAATAAAAAAGAATATATTATCTTTATATACTATACTGCTTTTATTTCTCGTGAGATTTTTCATTTTATAAAATAATTATTAAAACATAAAACATTGTTTTATTTTTTATGCTTTGAAATTATTCATAAAGAAAATATTCGCGTTAATTTTTTAAATTAATTCTCAAAATTATTTTTATTACTGTAAGAAATAAATAAAAATACTTAAGAAATAAATAGGGATCATTCAAATCAATATCGATTTATGTCATATATCGAATCGATTTAAACTATCGAAATATTGCGAGGTACAATATTATCGAGATACAAAGAAACCGCGCTTTTTTAATATATCAGTCTGTCTTTGACTAACATAAATAGCATTATATAATGTAAAATATTATTTTTTTTTATATAAATATTTTCTATAAATTTTTTTTTAATGTGTAATTTGAATTAAATAAAAAATTATTATTTTGAAATGAAGCATAATTTGAATTATGAAAAAATCGTAGTATTAAGGTTAGTGAAATATATTATTTACGTATTTATTTTATTTTATATTTTTTTGTAAAATTAACTCAAGTTACATGTAAATATAATCAAACAATTAATGTATACTTTTAAAAATTGATTTATTTCGATATTATTAACTTTGCCAATAATTGCCAGTTTTGTATTCCCAGTAGATGCAGTAAAAAGAAAAAAAAAAGCATATAATTATATAATTTCTGATATTAATGATTATCTTTGATAATAATAAATTATAAAATTTTCGTTTAGTTAAATAATTCGATTTTTTTTATCTTATAATAATATATTTAAAGATTTTTACATCAATTTAATTAGTTAAATAAAATAAATTATGACAGATCGACAATTCTTTGATTTCATTTTATATTATTTTAATTTTACAACTGTGAATTTAATTCATATATAATTTAATATAACAATATTTAAAATCTTTTTATTAATTGAATACATATAAATTTCTTAATATTAGTTACAAATGTCATACATGTGTAACTTTAATTAGAAGCAATCACACCAAGATATAAATTTTTATATTTAAATATTTAAAAAATTTATTTAAATATTATTAGTATAAAAAGCGTTATTAAATAAATTTTAGCATTTTATTTCGAAAACAAAAATATAATATAAATAAATGAAAAAAGAACAAAATTATAATATAAATATGGAAAAATATACATTCATGTGATATTTAGTATTGCAAATAAGAATTCTATAATTTGCATTATGAGATTATATATATTATTTTTATTTAATGAAATAAAATATACTTAGCATAAAAAAATTTTTATGCTAAATATGAAACATGAATGTATCTCTTATTTAATAATATATTTCATTTTTGCATGATGTCATTTGACATACATTACTTAAATACTAATACACAAAATATAGATTTGTGCTACTTTACTCTACATGGAGATCAATGTCTACTGACACAATAAAATAATCTTGTGTCAATTTTGGAACCTTATTTTTGTTTTTTAATTAATAAACATATTTAGTAACAAAAACGTTACAAAGATACATCTTTTCATGCATAAAATTCATTAATTATTCTAAGACAACAATTCAACTTCAGTTTGAATATTTTGTCGTGCTTGCTCTTCATATTTTTCACGAAATTCCTTTGTGGCAAAAATATTTGGAATCTGCACAAAATTCTGCAATACCTAATTTATTTAAAATAAATAGTTGGGAAATAATTCATAATAAAAATATTTATATGTGATATGTAAATATAATATAAATATAATTACCTTCAAACGTAATGCAGTATACATTGGCTCACTAAGAAAACAATATTCTCCACGTATTTTTTCTCTATATTCTGCATAATTTTCTGGAGAAGAACCTAACACAGCCATGTCCAAATCTAAAAAGTAATGAGCATCTTCACCACCAAAGGCACCACCAATTTTATGTGCATCAGTACTATGTGTTGCAGCTACTTTCAAAAGTTCGCAAGTTTCTTCCCTTAATATTGCATCCTATGTAAAAAATAAAATAAGAGTTTAATATTCTTTTATTCATTAAGAGAATAACAATTTAATATTGTAGAATAATAGTTACAGTAGGAATTTCAGCTTCATCTGCAAATGTATTAAAATGCTCTAAATTTTTGTTTTCACCATCTAATGCTTTGGGATCATATTCAAAGCTATAACACAATTACAATTTTATTTTATATTTTTTTCTCATTCCAATTTATGTTGTTACTTACTTTTGAAAAAATAAGGCAAAAAGCACAGCTTGAGGATTTTTTAAGTTATCCTTAATTCATAATAACAATTCAATTTATCACGAAGAGAATCTAGATTATGATAAGTACGTTTTTCTTCTGAATAAGCTTCTTGGAGTTTTGTGAGCCATGTATCACAGATACTACTATCTAAACCATCAGTTGCTTCTTTCCAACTTTCTTCTATTGATGCCATTTCTCTCTGGAATTTTATATATATAAATATTTTTTAAAATATTTTCACCTAAAAAATTATTGTTCAATTTTAATTTTTTAATTATTGTAAATCAAATGTGCAATTTAAAATTTAAAGACAGTAAAATTTTTGTATACAAAGAAATAGTAATTTATATTATAGAAATGAAATAAAATTTTTTAAAAAAGGGAAAGATATTATCTTTATTCAAGTACTTACAATGTATTAAAAGATTCAAACAATTTGATAGTTCAACTTAGAGACAAAAAGTAAGAAATTGTGCTACATTGAAATTCTGATTACCGAAACATAATGCGTCGCTGCGAGTACTCGCTGACTGAGTGAATTCTACTTGATAAAATAAAGTCTACTTCCATTTATTGATCGGATTGTGTTCGAGTTTTATCAACGAAATACAGCGTGATTTGTAATCATCACTGTTTACATAAAATATTGTAATTGAATTTTTCAAAATATTTAATTAGTTATAAAGCAATTTAAAAAAATGCTAAAGTAAGAGTTTCAAGTAAAATTTTAATCTTTTTATTCGTGAAAAAAATTTATATTTAATTGCATCAAATTCATGACTGGTTGGTAACCCTTGCCGAATATTTTTGAGTTTTTTCCTAAAAGAAATATATATTCTTAAATAATAATTAAAATTATGCAATAACGATTTTTTTATTTTTATTATTGAATGTATTAATCTATTTACATGTTTCAAAAAATTGTAGCATAATACTACTGTTATTTGTTTTAAAATTTACCGCCATTACGAAAGCAAGAGATTAGTATACTTTTATAAGATATGGAAATCTTTAATATAATTTAAAATAATTTTCATAGATATTTTATATTTATAAACAAAATAATAATATGAAAATACAAATTATGATATTTTTTTAATGAAGAAATGAAAATTGAAGAAATATAAATTTATTGTATTTCTTTTAATAATTCTTTTAACCTTAAAAAGATTAAATTATATAATTTTTGACGTGATAAAAAATGAGAGATATAATTATAAATTAAATTATTTTAATGGCAGATTTTTTTTTGTTACTTAGGAAAAGAAATGAGTAAAAATATAATATTATTATATACAATTTTTATTGGGCCTTTCTTTATTGCCTTATTTTTGTATGGGTTTTTTCCTTTAGTAAATTATGATAATACTAAAGCCACACAAGATAATATACCAAAGTCTATAGAAAATGTGAGGTAAGTTTCATAATTGTATAAAAATTATAGGTAGAAAAATCATGGAAAAATCATATTTTTTAATTGTTTCTAAATGCATCTTTTAGAATAAAGATAGATGCACTATATCAACCTATGGTTAAAAAATTGATCATTATGATCATTGATGCTTTAAGATGGGATTTTATAACAGGATCAATTGGAAAGATTGCAATGCCTATAACAAGTAGTCTCATAGGAAATTCTTCAGTTTCTTTATTAAAAACTAAAGTACATTCACCAACTGTTACAATGCCTAGAATAAAGGTGTTAGATTTTTAATAGAATTTTATATATATTTTAAAAATTATTTAAAAATTAGAAAAATATAAAATATTTTATACAACTTAGGCAATTACCACTGGTATGATACCAAGTTTTATTGATGTAGCTTTAAATTTTGGAAGTAAACCAATCACTGGTGATAGTATATTTTTTCAAGCAAAACAAGCTGGTTATAAATCAATATTTTATGGAGATGATACTTGGATTACATTATTTCCTTTTATATTTGACCGTTATGATGGTACGACATCATTTTTTGTAACAGATTTTACTGAGGTATTTTTTAATTCTTCATTAAATCTTTATATATATTTAACATATATAACTAGATATAATAATTTTAATTCAGGTTGATAATAATGTAACTAGGCACATTCATAAAGAATTATATAATAATAATGATTGGTCTATAATGGTTCTTCATTATTTAGGACTTGATCATATTGGTCATGTTTATGGCCCATTTAGCCCATTAATTAAAACAAAACTTAAAGAAATGGATAATGTAATAGCAAAAATTCAGTTTAAAGTTCAAGAATGGGTAGGTATAACATAACATGAAATATTTTAAATATAATATAATTTAGTAAATTTATCAAAAGTATAGAAATTATAATTTATTATTTATATTCATAAAAAATTAGTACAAATTTATTATCTTTAGAATCAAAATAATGATTCTACTTTGTTTATTATTTGTGGGGATCATGGGATGAAAGATTCTGGTGGTCATGGTGGTTCAACAATATCAGAAACAATTGTACCTTTCATTGCAATTGGTGGAGAATATCATCAAAATTACAATAATCCCATAGAAATATCACAAATAGATATTGCATCTACATTATCTGTTATTTTGGGATTACCAATACCAAATTCTAATATAGGAACAGTTTTTTTAGATGATTTATATAACTTATCTATCTCAAAGAAATTATTTATACTTTATTATAATTCGAAGCAAGTTTTCAGTCATTTTCAAAAGTTAGTTGATTATGAATCTAAATGTGAGTTATTTGATTATATTTAATTATATGTGATTTTTTAAACAATATGATGAATCGTTTCATTATTACAGATGCATATAAGAATATTTGGAAGCAATAAAGCTTCATAATGCCTGGTTAAATACTAAAGATCATCCAGATGGCATAACAGATGATATTGTGCTTTCCTATAAGATTGCACTAAAAGAAATGAAAGAAATTCTCATAAACAATACAATAAAATATGATTTCCAAATAATAACAATAGCTATAATTTTTTTATGTCATGTAAGAGTTAAAAATTAGTTCAATATATTACTATTTTAGATTTTTTTTCAATAAAATAATTAATAATTTAATAATTTCAGATTACTTGTATTTTAATAGGGAAAATATCTTTTAGATTACCTACATTAAAAAGTATTATATTTATCATTATTTTAAATACATTTTCATGGATATTAGTCAATCATTTTTGGAAACAAGAAAATATATCATTACTACATACAAAAAATTTAATTGCCAATATAATAGTATTATGTATCATAATTGTTTTAATTATACATTCTTATCTACTTATCAGTATTAGAGGTTTCAATATTTTTATATCTGAGGTAAGATGAAAGATAATTATATAAAATTATATAAAAATTTTATAATGTTTTAAAATTTTTTTTTAAAAATTAGAAAACAAAAAATGGGATAGGAAAGTGGCTCCTTTCATTTGGAGCATTAATACATGCGATTAGTCTTGGTGGTAGTAGTTTCGTAGAAGAAGAACATCAAACATGGTATTTTTATTGGGTCACAGTTCTTGTATTGCTACTTTATCACTTTATCGCGAAATATTTTTCAAGAGGATTTTTACAAGAGTAAGAAAATTTTATTTAGTATGAAATATTAAATTATTTAAGACTTAATTAAATTAAATTAATTAAACTAAATTAAACTTTCAATTATATTTCAGTTATAACCGACAATATTTATATGCACAAATTGTCATTAAACTTTTATTATTACTGATAGGACACAGAATTCTCAGGAAATTAAATAGTACTGGGGATAAATATGCTCATCTTCCTGATATAGCAGGATTTTTATTAAAACAAGAAAACATATTGAGCATGACAATTGTACTTGTTACTGGTAATTAAATTATAAATTACTATTTAAATTGTATATTAAAATCAGAGAATATATTCTGAAAATTATTTCTTCAGGTTTTATACTTTTGATATGGATTGATTTTAGTCATGAAAGTAAAACACATAAAATACAATCATTAGCACTTAATTCAATAATTAGTATATGTATTTATCTTCGTCATATGCATAACGGTAATGTTGCCAAAATAGTGTTTTATCCCCAAACTAGGTAAGGCTATTCCTCACATTAAACATTTGTACATATACTTATAAATACAATCATTGGTTCTAGTGGAATATACGAGATACAAATTTTTTGGTTTTTACTCTTGATAAATTTTTCAAGTTACATTTATAATATAGTCCAAACAAAAAAACACAATGCCAAACTCTTTTTAAAAATTTCTTTGTATTTTATTTTAAAAACATGGATTATGATCTCAGCAATGCTCCATCAGCCATATAATGTGATACTTCTACCATTTCAAATAATATTTAGCAATATAATTTCTGAAATAATTAAAAACGGTATTTCTCAAGATGTTGGTGTGATTTTATATATCTGGATTGGCAATGTATTTTATTTTTATCAGGTAATAATCTAATAATTGCATCAAATAATTGCTGTAATCGAAACAAATTTGAAATAAAAAAATAATTTTCTACAGGGAAATTCCAATAGTTTAGCAACTATTGATGTAGCTGCTGGTTACGTTGGTGTACAATCGTATATCCCATTTATTAATGGTTCATTATTGTTAATTAATACTTATTCATCTCCGGTTTTGGCCTATTTTTTACTTATTTATTATTCGATCTTGGACCATCCAAATAAGTGAGTATTTCAAAGTTTTGAATTAATTTTCGAAAGATTTATATTAGGATATTATGTTAAAGTTATACATATATTTTTAGTATTTATGAAATAGTCACACAAATTAATAAAATGTACATAATGTGGAGATTAATACCGGTAACTCTATATACAATTATAATTAGTATTCAACGCTATCATTTGTTCGTATGGTCAGTATTCTCGCCGAAATTATTATATGAAGCTACATATTTCATTATTGTGTGTGTTGTTGTATTTATCGTGCTAATTTTGACCACTTTACAAAAAACAATTTTTAAATAAATTGTGATTTTATATTTTTATTGATTTCTTTATTCAAAATTCTATAAATTCTAATGTTTGATATTAATCAAATTTTAAATTAATTGATGAAAAAATATCTTTTTTTAATATTGAAAAATTTTTGTAGGAAATAAAAAAAAATATCAAATGTAAAGGAAAAAATTTACTTTAATTTCTAATTATATTACAATTATTGTATTTTAACTGAAATCTTCAATTGTTTCTATAAAAATTAAACTATACAAAAATTTCTAATAAAATAAATATTAATTTCGTAAAAATTTTTTCTTTTTTTTATAGTCGAAATTATTTATAAATCTAATGGATTTGAACATTTAAATGAACTGTACACGTTTAAATTGAAATATGTATATCTTACAGATATGAAGTAATACATGAAGTAACAATATATGAAGTAAAATAATTATATAAAATTTATTTTCATTGAGAAATAGAATATTTTTTTTTTTTTTTTTTTTTTAGAATAAATCTATACTAAAATTTCGTATACTACAGTGGTCTTCAATCTTAAATATTAATTTCGAATTTTTTTACATATTAATACTAATTGCGAGTTATAATAGATCACAAAATAATTCTTTAAAACATTCGCACAAAATAATGCAAATAACTCTAATCATGCAAAACAGACACTCCAAAGGAAAAAATATTCTGTATTCTATCACAAGAAAATAAATTATTTTTTATAGGAACAAAAAAATAAATATAAATACATATTTACTATAAATATGATTAGATTATTAAATCTAAATAGCAGCTATATTTCATTGTTCTATAAATCTTTTTTTATATTTTTTATATTGTTATTTAAATAATAAATTCAAAATGCTAATAAATGGTATATCCATAAAATTAATAAATTTTTTTGATTTCTTTTTATACAAGATATACTAAAATGTATATTAATTTTTCTAAAATATAAAATTATTTTAATATAATTATATTACATTAAATAAAATATTATATATCAGAAAATTTAAAATTCAACAAATTAAAAACTGGAAACAATAATTTGAACTGAAATTTTTTCTATAAAATATTTTAAATTAAATATAATACATCGCATAAATTTGCAATAGCGAGTGTCGCATCATGATACATTAATTTCTAACATATAAAATATTCGTTTGATGTTATACAAAAATATAAATACTATATCAATTTATATCAAATTATGAAAACAATTATACACGTTTCAAACCTGCACGGTTTTCGAGAATATTAATTTTAATTATCTCGCAAGGCTACTAAATCGCGAGCGATACTTCATTTTAAATAGAGGATTTCTAATACTTTTTCGTAAATGTTAAACATTATACATCCATGTCCATATGAATAAATTTATATCTTAAATCGTAACATTATTATAATACTTTATGTTACATCGTTTGAATAATGTTTAATGCATTCATAAAATAAATAATTCATAATTCATAAGTTAAAAGTATTCGATGATTTTCATGAAATATAGCTTAATACAGTAATGGTATTATGCGAATCTTGAGTATTTTTGTTCTCTTATATACATATATATATACATATATTTATTTAGCTATATTTATATTTATATTTAGTCCTTTTTATTTAGAAGAAAAATTTTTTTAAAATGGTGAATTCATACCAAGTTTTGTACCAAATTCTAATCGTGCTCTTTTTTGATACCTCACGTTTACTCTGTAAGTATTAGAATAATAAATTAAATGTCTTTTTAACATATAATATATTATACTTACTTGATTTCTTGCCATTTGATCAATTCGTTAATGGCAAAGATTAATGGCAATGAAACTAAGAAAAATAGGGGAAGATGTAAAGGAAAGTCTTTTATACTTTGCCCTTCGTCTTTCCAGAATTTACAAAACACTGTTCCTGAGAATGCAGCTTGTGCGCATAATCTAAAAAATTTGATTCGAATTGAAGAAATATTTTAGATATAATATATACACACGCATACAATTATAATTAAAATTTATGATTTATAAAAAGTGATTTAAAAAATTAAAGTATTTTTTAAAAAATAAAAAAATGACGTGATTTTTGAGTACTTATATTAATATTTTTTGAGTTAACTATATATATTTTATATAATTTTTATACTCACGCTATAAATGCACTGAAAAACCATACGTAATTGTTAAAAGGTTGTTTCTTCCAAATAGAATATTCTCTATGTACAAAGCTTATGGATATCGTTACTGTACGAAAGAAAAATATTATTCGATGATATTCATCAAAGATTCTTTCATCAAAGATTAGAAAATAAATAAAATTTACCCAAATGTAAAACTAACAGCGACAAAGCGAAATGTTGTATCACTAAAATAATATTTGGTTTGTCACCCCAACCACCCCATGAAATTTCTCCTTGTGTATCTGGGTATACATACAAGCATTTAGAATCTGGTGTGTAAGTAGGGCACAAAGATAAAAACGAGATACACTGCGACAGAACTATCGTTACAACTGTCGGCAAAAATTTACTGCCATAACACCAAAGAACAAACAGTGCAACCTGAAAAATCAAGAAAGTACTTATAAAAAATTCAAAAGAAAATTTTTCTAAATTTTTTGAATCTAAAAAATGTTTTCTCTAACAATTTACATTTTTTACATGTAACATGGAATTTTTCAAAGAATTTTACTACTTTAAAAATTATAATTACTTTATACGGAGATCATTTTTTCAGAAAAATATAAATATAAAGCACCGATAATAAATAATGTTCCATTGTTAAATTAAGGATGATCATGCATTTATTATTTGGAATTTCAATTTTTTAAATATTTCAATATTTTCTAAAATGAAAAGAAGCGCAAGATTCCATTTCTTCAGTTACGTTGGTAAGAATCTAATAAATTAGAATAATCATATATAATCCATTTATTATTATTATAACAATTATCCTTCCTTACCTGACCATTTACAGTACATTGGTTTTTACCAGTTGCACGTTGCATTATGGTAGGATCCATTGGTGTAGCAATCATAGATATAGATAATATTGGAATGATTAAGCAACACAACCATAAGACTTGATCGACCGAAAATAAGGGCGGTAATAACAGGAAACCGGACATAGCTTGTGTGAAGGAGAGAGTAACTGTACAACAGAGCCAGAATTGCACGCAATTCCAGAGGCACATCATATAATGCCGAGCCTAAATATGCAATAAATAATGTCCAATAATTATAACAACTACGAGAGAGAATTTACTAATAAAACTGGAAATTGAATATATTATATAAATTCTTTTAAATGAAATCAAATTTGGTGATGGTTATAATTAAAAATTTCATATGATTCATTATTCACCTCCATGATTAAATGAAAAATTGCAATTGGATCTTCTCGTTTCACGCTTAAAGAGCAAGCAACAGAATTCAATGCTCTGCTTAAATCCACTGGAGATGGACCTTGGTCATCTTTGGTTGGTGTCAATACAGGAACTCTTTGACAAACTTGTGGATACAATGGTTCTACCGCCACTCTAAAATAAAAATCCATATTTTTAATTATACATTTTCAAAATTGAGCATAATTTGGACCAAGAATATTGTCAATTTTCGAAATAGATATATTCTATTATATTTTCTCGTATATTATCAATCGCATAAATATTTTTTGTCCAATAAAATTTCCAATAGAATATTTTCTCTGATTTTTATATGATACTTGAACATTGCATGAAATAATTGAACGTATAATTTCACACGTTCTTTATATCGATTAAACTTTTTATACGAATTTATTATTCCACGCATAATTAAATTTTTATGAAAATGTATATCGTCGACGTTTCTCAACGTGCACCCGAGATTTCAAACAAATTAGTGGATTCCATATGTAAAGACGGATACTTGCAACCAGAAAGAGCTCGTTCTACGTTATATCATCAACCTTATAAGAGACCAACCTTAAAACTCGAGTCAGAGACGACGTATAGTTTGTCTTACTCAAAATTGAGTTTTTTTCCTCAACCAAGGACCAGTTTTGCAAAATACGAGAAAATGTTAACGACGAAACCTGGAAAAATCGAATCTGATACGATATACAAGCTCTCCTATCTACCTTCGACTACGAAAAAACGAAAACCCTTCATTCCAAGATCAAATTTGTCTATTCATGGCTATCACGATTTGACGACCATTAACAAAACATCTTATTTAAATCCTGGATACGTAAAAACAATTTCTTTTAAACCTTATCAAACTAAACTCCAACAACCGATACCGATGGATTGTGCAACAATAATGAAGGAATCCTATCAATATACACCTGTTGATGTTAAGAGACCACGGAAACGAGAATTTTGGCAGACTAAGTTCAAGACAGATTATGGAACTACGAATAAATTATCGTATCAATATGTAGAACCGCTTAAGAAGAGGATTCGCGTATTCTACAAACCGGTTATCACCGCCAAAATTGAAAAAGACACGATTTATAATATGAGTTATCAGCTTCCAGGTCGCTGCATAACTAAATAGATTATGATAGTTTTTTTTATATTGTATGTATAATATATTTAGCAATTTTTTTTTATAGAAAATTTGTTCTTTAATTGAAGAACATATGCAAATTCAAAAAAACGACTCTTGCCAAATTTTAATCGTTAGAATCGTTTTTTTTTATTACAAATTCTTTCAATTACGATTAATATACTTACCCTGCATCTGCTTGCATGAAGATGGGCATATTTTCTGCGTTAGCAGAGGAGCCAAGTACGCATACAACTTCTCCATAATCTTGCATAATGTGCAACATTTCCCTTGTAACAGCGGTGTTGCAATCGGTGAACAGAGATACCAAAAGGGGTACATTGTCTATTAATTCTATGTGTGGTCGAATCTTATCGATGCCTCGAGGTAGTTTTGCCTAGGTACAGGATGTACAAATTAAAAATATACGAGAGAAAGAAATTTTATCGTGGGAACTCACCCTGTTCGACAAGTCAAAATTTACAGGAGCGCTCTGCTCCGTGCTGTCTGTGAGACAACTCAAAGATCGCCATGCTTCTTGCCCGGAACCCAGATCTACGCTTTGCACAAGCACGCTATCTTCGCTTCTCACTGTGTCTTGTTCCCTATATGGAGAATCGAATTATTCGTAAAATAGTTATAACATTCGATCGAATATCGAAATTCAAAATGAAAGTCAAAATGAACGAATTAATCTACCAGAGGTGTGCTGGAACCCAACGATTGGAATGGATCGGGAAGAGGCTGGGTTGGGCTGAAACCATGGTTATACTGTATTAATAAAATCTAATCTTGAAAAATGGATTCTCGAAATTTTTAAAAATATTAAATCTCTCGAAAATTTTGGCATATTTGAGGATCTCAACTTTTTTGAGAATCCCGATGCTTTCGAGAATCCCAACCCTCGAAAATTCATTCCAATTACTCTGGAGAATTTTCGAGTCGCGAGATACTTTTTTAGAAACATAATCCAATTTGTATTTTAGGATTCTTGCACGTCTCAAAAATCTACAAATATGTAAAAATTAAAGCATAGATAGAATAACAAGGGAACTAAAAAAGCGGATAATACAAAAAATAATAAAAAAAAAAAAAATACTAGTCTCTATTTGAAAAAATATCGAGGGAGAACGAAAAATAATTACGAAACGTGTGCTGATCCTGTTCTCGTGATCCTTTGTACTAGATGACTTAGACTGCCATGCAAATTTAAAATAATATTATAGGAAAATCGAATCTCAAGGATAATTGCAAAGATAAATGAATTTTTCAAAGAAATGTGTAAAATAATAAGTCTAAAGAAGGACAAACCTGTGACTCATAGCGCTTTTAACTTGAGATGTTCCTGTGTCGTTCCATTCCGTGGTTTCATCATCGAATTTCACGGTAGAGAAATCGGTATTTATAGCGCTTGGTGCTGACATACTCATAGCACGGCTATTATCCAAATTGGTGCTACAATGCAAAACAGAATCATACTATGGAAACATGATTATCTCGTATACCATTCATGCATGATGGGAATTCCTTGTAACACAAACACATCGATGCAGCATAATTATGCAGCAAAAATGTTTGAACGCATGCTCTTAATATTTCGAGTATTTGCCGATTTTTTTCGATTTCGAATAATCGTATATCATGAAGCGAAAGGTATATCTTTTACGGAAGAGATGATAAAAATGGATAAACTTTGTTCTTTCCTTTTAAGTTATTATCAGGCTACGGATTTTTATGCATATTTTTTATATTTTATATAAGAATATTCGACTATAGATGTTTAAAAATTTAAGAGATGATTCTTTAAATCAGAATAAAACCTTTTTGACGTTATTTTTCAATTAAAAAACGAATTCTCTAAGCGCGAATAATTATCAATCATAGTTTGCTTTAAAACTCAATTAAACTCTATTAAAATTAAAAAAACTTTAAATTGCTATAACTCCGAGAATAACGATTTCCACACAAGTGAATGATCATTAAAAGCACGAATCCTTACTTTTTAAAATTCTTTTTCGTTTATTTCACAATTTCATACAATTTCCGAATCATATAATTTTTAATAGTTTATCTCTATTCTTTTATTAGTCATTTATTCAGACCTTTTATTTGCTTGCATTTCGTTTCACTGACTTATCCCAAACTTCAAACAAGTAACAAACGCGATTTTTGGAAAAAGTATTACAATTCTTGATGGGTATACGCATTTCCAAGAAAAAAGTGTAAGTCACAAGTCCTTTTATAATGTTTGCATTGTTTTAAATAGTATGAAACTTTGAATGCTTATATCTCAACAATCAATTGAGATATCAAAATAAATCAAAAAGAATCTCGAATAATATAGTTCCTTTATCTTCTGAATATGTTTTAATAGAATATATATCATATATATTTTTTGTATATTAGTTGAATATTTGAACATTTTTAAACCGCATAAAAATTCGCATTGTAGTAATTATTTAATAAAATATCGATATTTTTTTATGCCATATTTAGTATATCATGTTTTATTTTATTTTCATATAATTTGTATTATTGGAAATTACAAAAAAAATAACACTGTGTTCATTCGTTATTTGTAATTTTGAATAATATAAATTATATAAAAATGTAGATTAAAATGTTAACATGATATAAAAAAATACAGATATTTCATTAAATAATTACTAAAAGGAAGAAACTTAAAGTTAATTAATTTCTTTAAGATGTATCCCCTTCAATGAAAGTAGATATGTGTAATAGATAATGATGAATGTATTATTTTTAGTGTTTTATGTTTGATAAGAGGGTAAATTATGTAACATACCGAGGAGAGACACGATTAAGCAAGTGGCTGGCCTCATCCATGCAGGAGTAATTATGCTGATGAGATTGGGCCGAGGGAGTGGGTGAGGACATGGCTGCTGCCTGGCTCACCCACCAACCCACTAGACTCTCGGACCTAATTATTGGCGTGTTAGTTACATACATTTATTTATGTGTATTTTCTGTATGTCATGTAAATTACGAGATATTAACACATGTGCATAAGAATAATTGTTGAAGTGTACAGAAATAATTAATATATTAAGTTTCAGAAAGTATTAATATAAGTTTGTTTCCGCTAATGAAAGAAGCTATTAAACTATGGTAACGTATTTCATTATTAACTACCAGCACAAATACAATCATTTTAACATAACTTAATTTTCTAATCATTAAAATAATTATTGAATAAATGGAAAATATATATAAGGATATCATTTAAACTTGAAAAATTCTGTTCGTTAAAATACATATAAATCAAAGTGAAATCAAAGGGGAAGAAACAAATCAACTAATCGCATTCAAAGAACGTTTAAAAAACTTTATAAAGAATTGATATTTAGATATTGATATTAAAAAAATTAAAAAAAAAATTATTATTAATAAAGAGCGTAACGAATAAACATGCAAATTAGTAACAATAATGAAAGAAAGAGGTATAGACAAACATATACGATGGAGGCATGTGTGGATATCTCTCCAGCCATTGCTGTCTCCTGTAACGTACATGCATATTTTACATTCACATCCATAGTTATGACGAATATAGCTAGTTAAACAAATTCATTATATCAGTTGCCACCATTTATTTTAAACTTACAACAGATTAAAGAGAAAGAAGAAAAAAGAAACACTAAGAGACGACATATATCTATGTAATACTGTGTATATATATATATATATAT